GTGGGGCCATCCTGGGGCTTGACAGGGGCCTCCACATGGAGGACGCTCTCCCCCCACCCCAGTCCCTGATGGGCTCCCACACCCGCCCCAGGTAACTACGGCCTTCGGGACCAGCACATGGCCATCGCGTGGGTGAAGAGGAACATTGCGGCCTTCGGGGGGGACCCCGACAACATCACCATCTTTGGGGAATCAGCCGGAGGTGTCTGCGTCTCTCTGCAGGTCGGGGGACCCTAGGAAGGCGGGCCTTCCTCCCAGGTGTTGAGGGGAGCTATCGGAGATGATAGGGACCTGGGAAGCTGAAGTGGGCTGGGGAAGCTGATGGGGGCTGGGGGGAACAGCATGAAGCTGACTATCTGGCTATCTATGGTGGATCCGGGATGGGCAACAGAGATGAGGCCATGGTGACAGGACCTCTGTGTGTCGCAGATCCTCTCTCCCTACAACAAGGGCCTCATCCGGCGAGCCATCAGCCAGGGCGGCGTGGCACTGGTCCCCTGGGCCATCCAGAAGAACCCTCTCTCCTGGGCTAAGGGGGTAAAGGGGAGCTGCGGTGGGGGAGAGGGGAGGGTTACCTCCTGTCCGTGCCCTGTCCCGGTCCCCATGGCCGTCTGCCCCACACTGGCCTCACCTACCTGTCTCCCTGCAACACCCAGATCGCCAAGAAGGTGGGCTGCCCCCTGGACGATACCGCCAGGATGGCCAAGTGTCTGAAGGTCACTGATCCCTGGGCCCTGACGCTGGCCTATAAGATGCCCCTGTTGAGACGGAAGTGTGAGTGGGGGCTCCACATGGGGGGATGGCCATGCTCCCCAAGAAGTGAGGATTGAGGGGCTGCTGTCTGGCCTGTCACCCGCTCACTGGCGTCCCTGGGAGCCTGGTGCCGCCGGGGCCCTTGTTGCCTCTGTGGCCTCGACTGGCTGAGCCAAGGGCGCATCCCGCCCTCTGAGCCTCCCTGGGTCCTGACCCCCTTGGGAAGCTGGTGCACCTTTTCCCCCACAACGGACAGAAACAGTCATTTGCACCCAATTTTAGGGGCCTCAGACCCAGTGGCTGTCAGCGGGATGGTTTGGCCCCAGGGAGCCTGTGGCATCTGCACAGTCTGGGTTGCCACACTGGGGGGTGCTGACCTCTAGCGGACGGGGCCAGGGAAGCTGCTCCACACCCGCAGGGCAGCCCAGGCCTTATAATTATCCAGGCCTCATGTCAGGGGACAGGCTGAGGACCCTGGTCTGGATTAGAGGAAACAGGGCTGCCCCCTGGCCTAGGGCCTGGCCGGGGGCCCCTGAAAGGTGTGAAGTCCCTCCTCTCTACACAGACCCCTTCCAGTACTATTTGGGCCTCCTGCCTGTCGTGGACGGAGACTTCATCCCCGATGACCCCATCAACCTTTTTGCCAACGCGGCTGACATCGACTGCATCGCTGGCACCAACGACATGGACGGCTACACCTTTGCCAGCATTGACGTGCCGGCCATCAACGTGGACTTGCTGACTGTCACGGGGTAAGTAGGACACAGAGCCCAGGGCCGTGCCTGGGGCCTTCTTTGGGAG